TGTCATTAGCTTCTGTTGTTTGATTTTGCACACAGCTACACACCAAAGACACAAGGCTATCCTGCTATATTGACATGGATTGACTGACATGTTGGCTCGATCATGACCTGTCAAAAAAATATTATTTTTTATTATTGATTAATGGAGTCATCATTTAGACTGTAACATGTCAGGAAATATCTAAAACTAGCTAACTAAATTTGAATGCCTTCAAATGTTTTGTTGTTTTTTTTGAACCAGTGGTTTGAACTGGGATAATGTTGATGTTGACTTTTTTTTAAACTATTAATAACTTTTTATAAAGCACTTTTCAAAACCACGTGCTCTCATTACATGGTTTAACCAGGATTAAATCATTTCAGGACTACAACAAGGTAAATAAAACTAGATAATTAAAATAACACAAAATAAAGGGAACCAACCCAACAATAATATAAGATGAAAACAAACAGATAAATAAGCAAACCCTATCATTTGAGGAGCTGGAAACCCAAAAAATGTTTCCATTTACGCTTGAAAAGTTATGAAACATTCAAATGATTTTCAAAGTAGTTGCGATTTATTTAATAATCATTTTCTGCCAATTTGTCCTGAGAGATCAATCGATTATACGACTCTGCAGCTGAAATGGCCCTATGCTCTATCAGAGGAGCCCCACCCCTCAGTACGAGGGCCATTTCCTAAATTAGTACCTCCCATGTGGCTTGACATTAGGCTAGCATTACAGTTACCATATTGATGGTATGCTACTGTAGCAACAGTAAACATAGGTTCTTGTTCCAATCTTGACCCAAGAAATTACTACATACTGAGTCATCATGATAACTTGGTTGCAGAGTGAAACTAGGAACAAGTCATCAGCCCATTGTCCAGATTTGAAATGGTTTTACTCCGCATATTATCCAGATAACTAGTAAACCCAGCTCTACTTTTTTAGCAATTCAAACCGTACATAATACTTTATAAATATTATATAATAAAATGGCAACTAGCAATGCCCTAAACCCCAAGTTGGCATAATCTAGTTGTTTGTTTTTTGTCTCAAACCCAAATATATTGGGATTAACATGAGAATAAAATTTCAGCTCGATGATAAAATAATGAAATTCAATGAAATGGCAGTTCAGTCTTGTTATCAGGCAGTACAGCAAACCTGCTCCCTGTTGTTGCCATAATAAAGGCAGCCATTGCCAAGCTGTCAAAAGGGAGGAGGCTTGAAAACAGGTGCTATTCACTGAGACAGTTTGTTTACACAGTATGTTTGAGTTGCTCAGTCTCTGATAATAGCCTCATTACCCCATACTACAAATGTGCATCTTGGTAGCCACCCACATTGCTTAAAGAAGACTTAAGTTACTTATCTGTCATATACCCAAATTTTAGTGCCAATAAATCATTAACAGCTGATCATTATGCTATTCTCAGCAACCATGTCCAAGGGACCAGCAGTCGGCATTGACCTTGGCACTACCTACTCCTGTGTAGGAGTGTTTCAGCACGGCAAAGTTGAGATCATTGCCAATGACCAAGGAAACAGGACCACACCCAGTTACGTTGCCTTCACTGACACAGAGAGGCTGATTGGGGATGCAGCCAAGAATCAGGTGGCCTTGAACCCCAACAACACAGTATTCGGTATGAAACAATTTTCCAGACATGTCAAGTATGATTAGTTGTTATCTTTATGTTTCTGCTTATTTATTGCATCTTTTATTTTTTTTCCTTCAGATGCAAAGCGTCTTATTGGACGTCGGTTTGATGACAGCGTTGTCCAGTCAGACATGAAACACTGGCCATTTACAGTCATTAATGATGCTTCACGCCCCAAAGTCAAAGTAGAGTACAAGGGCGAGACCAAGACCTTCTACCCAGAGGAGATCTCCTCCATGGTGCTAATCAAAATGAAGGAGATTGCAGAGGCATACCTTGGGAAGGTACATACACCTTTGTGCTTTTGCTTTTAAAAATTATTCCTTGGAAACGTTTTGTTTTTTTTTGTGTTTACAAAATGAGAGATTTGCATGAGTAATACACACCTCACAAAAGTATATTTTGCAAGTACTCAAACACATTTTATATGCTTCTTCTACAGTATTACTGTGTCCCCTGTTCAACATGGAGTTTTAAACAGAACCCTGCAGAACATGCTGTTTACTACAGTTATAGTGTTGTTTAAATAGACTAGGGATCTGTGAGCTCTAATTTAACTTAATATGATAAAAATACTTTACATTTAATCTTGAAAATGTCATTAATGTCTCATTAAATGCTGTAACTTGCAGACTGTGACAAACGCTGTGGTGACAGTACCTGCCTACTTCAATGACTCTCAGCGCCAGGCCACCAAAGATGCAGGGACCATTTCTGGCCTTAATGTCCTTCGTATTATCAATGAACCCACTGCTGCAGCTATTGCTTATGGCCTGGACAAAAAGGTAAAATAAGTCTTAGGTTACGTTTTTGTTTTTTGCAGAGATAGATACAGTTTTGTTCAAATAAAAAATTCAACTGAATCATCTTAAATTACAGGTTGGATCTGAAAGAAACGTCCTCATCTTTGACCTGGGCGGTGGCACATTCGATGTCTCTATTTTGACTATTGAAGATGGTATTTTTGAGGTCAAGTCCACCGCAGGCGACACACATTTGGGTGGCGAAGACTTTGATAACCGCATGGTCAACCACTTCATCTCCGAGTTCAAACGCAAGTACAAGAAAGACATCAGCGACAACAAGAGAGCGGTGCGTCGTCTGCGCACAGCATGCGAGAGGGCCAAGCGCACTTTGTCATCCAGCACTCAGGCCAGCATTGAAATCTGATTCTCTGTACGAGGGCGTCGATTTCTACACCTCGATCACCAGGGCCCGATTTGAGGAGCTGAACGCAGACCTGTTCCGAGGAACCCTGGAGCCTGTGGAAAAGGCTCTACGTGATGCCAAGATGGACAAGGCCCAAGTCCACGACATCGTCTTAGTGGGAGGCTCCACTCGTATTCCCAAGATCCAGAAGCTGCTGCAGGACTTCTTCAATGGCAAGGAGCTCAATAAGAGCATTAACCCAGACGAAGCAGTGGCCTACGGTGCAGGTATAACCCCTTTATGTCCATAAATATACTGATAACTCATTTGTACTAATAAATAATCCAGACAAGAGTTTGAAGTCCACCTATTTGTTCTGTAGCTGTACAGGCAGCCATCCTGTCAGGAGACAAATCTGAGAATGTGCAGGACCTGCTGCTGCTGGATGTAACCCCCTTGTCTCTGGGCATCGAGACCGCTGGAGGAGTCATGACTGTTCTTATTAAGAGGAACACCACTATCCCCACAAAGCAGACCCAGACGTTTACCACCTACTCAGACAACCAGCCTGGTGTGCTCATTCAGGTATGACCACCACCTTTTCCCCCTGTATTTAGCTGAATTCTTTGTCTCAGAATGTCTTAAATGTTAAATAAATCAGATAAATGATGGGTTGACCTGGCATTTAAACTGCAGGTGTTTGAAGGTGAAAGAGCCATGACCAAGGACAACAACCTTTTGGGGAAATTTGAGCTGGTTGGAATCCCCCCTGCACCCGAGGTGTTCCTCAGATTGAGGTGACCTTTGATATTGACGCCAATGGCATCATGAATGTGTCTGCGGTTGACAAGAGCACCGGGAAGGAGAACAAGATCACAATCACCAATGACAAAGGTAAACTGAAGGAGAACTTTTAAAGCTGTGTCTTAATTGTGAAATTCGACGTATGGTATTCAGCCTTGTGCTCATTTGAAATAAAACCCATCAGGTCGCCTGAGCAAGGAGGACATTGAGCGTATGGTACAGGAAGCAGACAAGTACAAGGCTGAGGATGATTTGCAGAGAGAGAAGGTGACTGCCAAGAATGGTTTAGAGTCGTACGCCTTCAATATGAAGTCCACTGTGGAGGATGAGAAGCTGAAGGGAAAGATCAGTGATGAGGACAAACAGAAGATTGTGGACAAGTGCAACGAGGTCATAAGCTGGCTGGATAGAAACCAGGTATGAACTACTAGGACAGTCCAATTTTGTGGCTGTTAACTTTTGCAGCATAGCTGGTGCCAGATTGATATTTAAATTCCCCTTCTGTTCTCAGTCTGCAGAAAAAGATGAGTTTGAGCATCAGCAGAAGGAGCTGGAGAAGGTGTGTAACCCCATCATGACTAAACTGTACCAGAGTGCAGGTGGGATGCCAGGCGGGATGCCAGGTGGGATGCCGGGCGGCTTCCCCGGAGCTGCTGGTGCTCCTGGAGGTGGAGCATCCTCCGGCCCCACCATCGAGGAGGTCGACTAGACCAGACCAGACCAGACTAGACTTGCATGATGAGCTTGTTCCTTTTCCAAATTTTTTTCTCTGTGACATGGGCGTGAAGGGTGACCACAATCTTAAAATCACAGACGTATAAATTGTTACTTAGAACCATTAACCACGCCTCTTTTGGGATTGTTTTGATATTTTTTGTATATCTGGCTTAAAGCAACACTGTGGCTTTTTTGGTAATAGGGTACTCTCATGTGACCGTGTTTGTGTCAAATTAATCCAGTTAATATTTGTGTTACCACAGTGCGTTTTTCTTTATGAGCTGCTTATGTAGCGGAAATGGTCGCTGTTGCTCAACACTTGCCAAATGAGACAAAATAAAAGTGTTTTTTTGAATTTGGACTCATCACTCATCTTTCCAATACCTTACTATAACAGTTACCATGACATCTATTCTAATTATGGTTAATAGTGGTTAATCAGATAGCTGAATACTGAGCTACTTGCAGCTACTCACTGCAATGTTTATCAATGCACATTCAGTTTTTAAACTGACAAATTCATTTTCCCAGGTACCAGGAGTGGGATCAGCTTCAGTACTGGTGTCATAGACTGTGTTGTTCACCTCTGCTTCCATACTGTATTTTATTGTGGTTTTCTTAAAATAGACAGACAACACAGACAGCAAATGCATTCTTTTGTTCTAATTTATTTTGCTTATTCATGAATAGTTAGGTTAACATGAAGTGGTTGGAAAGTTAATAGGGATATTGGTTCCTCTTGGCCATATATTATGCTTGGGTGTGTGTGTGTGTGTGTGGCAGGTCAGCGTGAGTTAGAGTTTCTTGGGCATTCGTGCATCCGGTAGGCACACATGTAGAAGATACCTAGAAGAGAATAATCAAGTTATTGAGAAAATAATGTGAACACGAGAATGACGTTTCATTTGCTAATGTGGAACGATGCATACCTGAGAAGAAGGTAAGCACCACTGCCACCCAGCCCATTATATAGGACCAGGAAAATCGCCAGCTGCCATAGCGTTTACCGTAGTAGTTCACTGTCACTCCTGTGTAGACGGCCATGGCCAGCAACACAAAGAAGCCTGCGCATGAGGTAAAAGCATTAGGTTTAACTGATAAACTACATCAGAGAGGCTTGCGTGGAGTTGTGGCTGAGGGGCTTACATGAGATGAAGAAGAGGATGCCGGCTGCAAACGTCTTGTCAAACCCATCAAAGGAGGAGTAGTGGATGAAGGCCATGACACCAATCACAATGCCGATGAAACAAGCCAGCAGGGAAAGAATCATGAAGGCCCGGGTGGCATCCCAGTATGCTGTGGGTGAAAGACGAGGTAAACCTTAGACTTGAGAGACCACACTTCCAGTACTAAAGGAAGAATTCATAATCTTTGTCTTTTTCTATTATATGCACACAACTCATGTAATCTACAGTGTAGGTGTGTTTTATTTTCACTGTTAGTCATGCTTTTCTCCTGTTCTAGCTTGCCTCCTAGTGTTTGGCAATAGACATGCATCTGATTTGATTAAACTTAGCACAGATGAAACTTAAAATGAAACCTGTTTACCTGAAGTATGGACTATATGACTGGTGCAAGTGAAAGTAACCTGAATACTTCTGGGCAAAAAAAGACACATGGGGTTTTTGAAAGATTTCTTGATAACATTAACATGACAGTAACATACTTTCCAACTTGTTTGCACTTGAATCTCAGCCATATTTTACCAAAGGGAAGTAACCCCAGTGTTGCTCTGGTTTAATGTCGAGGTCACAGACTTACTGTCAGCAAACTAATAAATATAAATGAGGATGTGCCTGTGCTTATGCAGTGGAAGACACCCAGCGATTCTTACCAATGCTGTCTGTGTGTGTCATGCATTTCCCAGGCACACAGTACCGCCACAGGCCCTGGTGCATATAATTGCTGGAGTGACGATACTGCATCCAGTAGTCAGTTGCCGTGGAGACAATGAGGAGGATGTTCCCGACTCCGGCACAGAACAAACCACCTCCCATGAAGCTGTACATCCTGCCAAAAAACACTGACTGACACACATGGAGAGAAAACAGAGCAGGTCAGGGCCTCGCCATATCTGGCCCCTGCTATACCAATTATAGCAGCGACTTCCTGTTACAGCATGGAGCAGCACTGGATATGAATAAAGCAATTTCTAAATGCATTCAGCAGGATGCCACAAAAACACTGGAGATAGACAGATCTGATTATAGAAACATTATCGTTAGGCAGTAACACCGAGAGGGAACTCTGTCTGACGGGTCATTAACCTCTAACACTAACAGACTGGTAAGAGTTGGGTCCTTCTTTAAAAATACATACTGTGCTGACACGCATTTTTTGTTTTTTTTGAAGCCCAAAGAATTTCATTTTAAAGTCTAATTACAACAACCAGGTTTCCAAAGATACTTAACATGCTGCTGAATTATGAGGAAAAATGTGTACAAATCCAGAATATTTTTTTCAGTTTGATTTCATAGTGCATCCACAAAAGCATGGCATCTTGGGTTTCATTAGGTAATATAAACGTGGTGTTACAATTTCTGCTAAAGCTACTTAAAGTAATATTTATGCTGGGGAATTTAGAGTTCAAGAGGTTAACTACAAATTGCAGCAAAAAGAAAGATAACTTTTTAATCTATTTTAAATACAAAATATTACAGTTACATACACTATTTCACACATTATGTTTTGACATTACTGACCTACCTTTATCTTTTTTTCCCCTCAGAAAAAGTCAGCGATTCCAATTTCGGGTTGTCAACGCACAGGGTGGCAGGAAAGTTTTGTTTGTGCGTAGGAAACCAAGCGAACAAACGGGCTGATGGGACAATAGAGCGTGCTGAGCCGCAACCAATCGCAGAGGATGAGTTTTGTGTTTCAGGGAATCTGCTGAAAATACAAAACTGTTAAAGCACTGCGCACATCTCAGTAATACTGATGACACGGGGCTTTTCATTCAACATGCTGCACAGCCACACACTGTAAACTCATGGCCTGCAACAGGCTTATCCATGGCCATTGCTGGAAAAGTTCATTTAACAGAGATTATTTTAAGTGGTAAAAATGTTTAAAATGGAGCAATTTGTCATTTTGAATTATGTTTCTGTGTTTTGGGTAAATCCTTTTGTCTGTTATGCTGATGGAAAAGTCAATATCAGGTCATTTCTGACTTTAAATACAATTCTCTGTACCGCCTTGAGTACACATTATTATATTCCAAATTGCGCAGTGTGCTCATTTACATAAAATCAATCCAAATTTTTTTTTCCAGGCAAGTGGTATGAATAATGAAGGAACTACAGCACCTGCACTCACTACAGTGTGTTTTAAAGTCTTTCCATTCCTCAATATAACAGTGGAAAGACAAATTAAAGGTCTAGTCATTAGTCTTACATTTAAATTACAGATGAAAAACTGCTCACACATCTATAAAATAAAACACATGTAGCAGTGAACTTGAACACAGCCAGCAGCATAATTTCACAGGACAAGATGCGTACGGTTAACTTAGCAGAACAGAGTATGATGAGCTGGCAGGTGGGCGGCTAATAGAGACGTGGGTTTTGTACAGTTTGGGTGAAGAAGCTGCAATAAAAAGTGATTTATCTTTGTTGTGGCATCTTGTAGCGAGAGTAGGAGTTGAAAGAGAGAGTTATGAGTGAGAAATTAGTATTTTATTTGCTCTCTTGAAGGTGTAACTGGTGCAGCATACTGTATATGAAGTGGTTTTGGTCTTGAAAGAGTCAGGGAGGAATGGTAGAAGAGATTTTAATCAGGGACATGATTCATCATGAGTCATCAATACGGCCGATTATGGAGTTTGTTTTCAGGGTTTAGAATAAATCAGAAAGTTACTCCAAAATTTGCTCGTTTGCATCAATCAGAATCAACTTTATTGGCCAAATATGTAGACGCATACAAGGGACTTGACCCCTGCTAACGCTCATACTTAAACACAATACAAGACAATACAGACAAAGGCATACAACCAAGCAAAGAAACATAGTTATATATATACAGACGAGAGCTGGACAATCTTTCTACAGTTTACAGTTACTATGAACAGCGTTTATGTATGTATATGCAGTCTGCTATGACTTACTTTTGGATTGTATTTACATGTACAATTAGGCTGATTGTGTCACAGGTCTAAAGTGTAATATTGGACCTTCAGCACAACACCATGTAAAGAACGTCAGTTAGATTAATTTGGATGTTTTAGTTTAATCATTTTTCAAATGTTCTTATTTAGAGCAGTTGTTAAAATGTGTTCATTAGGCTCTTTTTGTCTGTAGGAAAAGCACAGGTGTAAATAATAAAATTAATGAAAGCTGAATTCCATTTAGCTGCTGCTGGTTCACAGTCACACTATCATGGCTTTCTGGGACACTGAATAGAATGAATTAAAAAAAAGTCCTACTGTGAGAAGTCAAAATGTCTGCCGTGAGGCATCATCAGCCTAATTAACGCAGCTAATCAACTATGTTGTTTGCTAAAACCTCCACCTGCTCCTGATGAGGTTTTAAAGTAAACCCGAAAGCTTGAAACTGCAAATCTATAGCTCTTTAGTGGAGCAACTCTGCTTTTAAATGTTCTAAATATCAGTAGATCTCTTGGTGATTTATATGTAATTTCACACAGTGCAGCACCTTTGAGTTGTAGAGGATTCACTGATGACCCACAAAGACTAAGCGAGAGTCACTCGGCATCACAGTTACCCTGCATGTCTCAGTTATGACCACTGGATGGTGCCTTTTATCAAGTCATGCAGCAAAGATGGAATCATTAGTTGGATTTTCTCTCATTACAATCTTTATTCTGTTCATGTTTTTTAGCTGCATAGCCAGACAATCAAATGACAGTTCTCTGTGTCTTAACCCAAGTCGGCTCTTATCATTGTCTTAATATTATACTGTCATCCCTATTGATAGAAACATTATTAGCTGAGGTCTGTGTTCCTGGAATTGTCCATGTTTAGACTTGGTTTCTTTAATTCAGTAATTGGTCAGGTTTGTATTCATACAACTAATCTTTTATTCAGCAGTTTTACCTTTACCTTACAAATTGTATGATCACATCTCATGGTAATTAGGTGTTACAACTCATTCTGGTTGGTTGGAGACATGTTTATTGTGGATGGTAGTTTATTTGTTATCATTGTTATGTTAATCCTAATCAGAAATATTTGTATATATATATTTTAACAAATCACAACTTCACTACTCCCCTGTAATTGCAGTCCCCCCTGGGTTTGATGATTTTTGGATTTTGGATCACATTATGTGCTGTATGTGCAAGTACTGTATGTATGTAATGGGTTATTGTCATTTCACTTCATCTTGTCCAGAAGTTAAACTTCTGAATTGAAAAATATTTGCATATTCTTAATTTCAGTGAAGGAGAAGCACAGACTGAGGAGAAGTAATAATCTGAGAATTTAAAAACTATTTTAACTAACTTATTTGTGGGAAAACCACATCAGACATGGCTTATTCAGTATTTTTATGTCTTCAAATGTCTGGAGAGGAACCCTGAAGTAATGTAAATGACAATTAAAATACATTGATATAAGATTCCATAGCAGAAGACACATGTGAAGTGGTCGAGCTGAGCAGTCAGTGAGGGAGGGTTGTGTAAACCACAGAGACCCTAATCCATGTTAATGGCATAAAAGCATAAAATTGTAGAACCCTTCTAAATTGCATAACCCCTTCAAATTGCACCGGATTACCATTATCCTCCTAGCCTGGTGGGACCTAGGGGGTATTTGCCAAAGTCAGCGGAGTCCAACACAATTTCCAAACCATCAGACTGCCTCCCTGTCAAAATACTGTACTTATACCAAAAAGATATGAAGTGCGTACAGCAGATGAAGATGCAGGCATGAAGAAGAAAGCCTTTTTATATTCCGCTGCTGACACATTTCAGCAGTCGTACAGTGAGATGAAGGTTACCTCCTCTCATTAAGCCATAGCACAAACATGCCTTCTCATGATACAGCAGTCTGAAAAAGTGATAAACAGCATCTTGTAGCAGAGAAGTGATTTTACTTGCCACATGCGATGACAAACTCCTGAGACATCAGAGACATTTGGCTCTGATAAAAACATTTTGAGCTCATCTGCTTTTTTCCCCCTCATTCTCTCTGTTCTTGATCATGGAAAGGCATCTGAATTATCCAACACACATAACTTTACATCTAGTTTCAAGTCACAAAGAAAGATATTGTGTTCATTTAGCTCAAATGGACTGGACTTATTTCAAGATATCTGTCATATAGAGACATATGTCTCAGTACTTTCCGGTACAAATTCTGAGACAATCCAAACACAATTCAAGGTACAGCTGAGGCTGATGGAAATGTTTTGCAGGTATTTAGGCCTATTACATCATTTGTGCGCCCAATTTAGTAATTTGTCCTCAAAAAATCATTTGCATACAACGTATGTATTAATGATGTATTAAGAACATTTTAGATTTAAAAAAACAAAACTAAATGATAGAGCCCGGGGATGGCAGTAATATTCAGAGAAAAAAAGTTGTACATTTACAAGCAAAAAACTTGTAAAGTGTTTTGGATTAATAATACAATATAAGAGTCATTGCAGACATAACAGAAGAGATGGAGCTTTCAACATTTAGGCAGATATGAGGGACTGCAGCAAAGCCACTTGAAAGCACTAGTCACATCTTAGTTATAAATAACAGTTCTTCCCCATTTTTTATGCTTTTGGCCTATGAACAGAAGCATACTGGTTGGTGAAAGTAGCTTATATGTGACGACTGTTGTTATCTGCATAACCTGCATTCAAAGGTTCACTGTGTAATATTTAGGAGGATCTATTAACAGAAATGCAATATAACTATGTTATCAGTGGTGTATAAAGACCTTACATGATGAACCATTGTGTTTTCATTACCTTCGAAGGGTCTTCTTACATGGACGTCACCATGTTGCGCCACCATTTTTCTACAGTTGCCCATACAGAGTGTTTTGTCACTATGTTGAACACGTACAAGAAAGAAGAAGAAGAACAAGTAATGTTCAACTGTAGTAATAGTCGACTGGTTTATTAGAAGTAAGAAAAGAAGAGAAATTTGGACAAAT